CGGCCCGAAAGAAAAGCTTCGTTGGGCCGGGCCGAGCCGGGCTCGGGCCGGGCGGGCCGGGCCGGTCCACTGGGCCGGGTGGCCCGTTTCGAGCCCTGGTTCAGAGGCATTTGTAGTAAAAGAATTCGACCTATAAAGAAACAGATATGTTATCGTCGACGATAAGAAAAATTGACCTTGGCAAATTTCATACTGTTACGAAGCAGACAAGCATAAAAAATTCAATATTTGGACACAGAAATGAGGCTCAGATTTCACTCTTCTCATGGTAAAGTTTTCAAGTAATTCACTCTTGTATTATGACAGTTTAGAGCCTTATTCTGAACGATATGAATAGATGCACCATTTTTCGTTATGACAACATAATCGGCTAAAAAATTGTAAAACGCATAGAACATAAGCTAAGAAGTGGCTGGGAAAAATTTTGCCTTGAAATATTGTATTTTCGAGGAGTTCAGCTATTAAGACAGCTGAGATGAGAATTCTGAAAAAATGAGTTCAGCAGTAAAATGATTAGCATTCTCTTAAAACTAAACCAAATCGACTCATATTTTCTGTGCTTAAAGCCTCAGTGGCTAGCTGCAAGTTGGTAGGTAACACAGCCAAATATCCTTTAGTCTCTAGCGAAGACACAAGTCACGTCAATCCGATGAAATTTTACGCTTCATGAAATACGGAGACGTTTTACAATCTTCAGTTTGTGTCGACGATCAGGTTGCACCAAGGATGGTACTTGTGCAATGTTTCAGCTCATGGAACCTTATGGATATCAAGATACAGAGGGCCGGAGACTTTTGTGGAGTACTGTATATACCTTGTAGTAGATTAAATACTTAGTAAAATGGTTATAATCTTCGAAGTAAATTCCATTAGCCCAAATCCTCTTAGTATTTTTCTTTAAATATTGTCTCCAACATACGAACAAACTATCATTAAAAATGGCGTGGATAAGTTTGAGATATTCTCTTGTACGTTTGTTCTTACAATTGAATTTTTAAACGACCATATTCCTTCATAATTAAAGAACTTCGCTGATCTGCTGTGCAATGGGAAAAAAACAACTTTTTGAACTTGAAAGAAAAACATTCCTTTTCTCAAAGGTTGACATGGCCTTATATTAATCTTCGTGACTATTTCAGATAATTTTTATTTTCTTTCTAACTTGAAAATAAATTAATTGTTTTTGTTCAATAATCTCTTGATACATGACATGCTATATTTGAATCAAATACTCATACGGATCAATATTGATTAGTTTCTTACTTAAATATTAGGAAATGACGTCTTTCTAATGTCAAATGTTATTTCTCTACAGACATTTTGCTTACGCAGTTAATCATGAATGATATGATTAAAACAAGTTTGACTTTTCCCAAGAGTTTGGAAAAAAAAACATTATGAAACACCTTACCTATTTCATTCAGTCATTTCTATTGACAGGAATACAACAGTCGATTCACTTCGAAATAATAACAGTGTATACATAATTCCGGTATCATGAAGATTCCGGTTTTTCTTATTTTATTAATCGTCTTCATTGAGAATAATATTTGTCTTCAAACTGAAGGTAAGTTTATCCTATAATCTAAATTATTGCATTTAGTTTTTATTAGATGGAATACCTCTTCTTGATCGTTCTCAAATAAAACCTGAATCCGATGGTTTTTATCATTTATCAAATTATGAATTTAAATGTCTTCGACAATTAGCAATGTGTTCATCACATGGATGGTCATTAAGATTTAGATTATATCTTAATCCATTTACAATTATTGATCGTGAACGTAAACATTTATTATTTAGTACAGGTGCACATGAACCACATGGTGATGGACTATCAATTTATTTATATCAATCAAAAAATACTTCATATCTTGAATTTGGTTTAAAAGAATTTTATAATGATGAATTTGCTTATTATTGGCATATTGAAACTGATTTAGAAGTTAATAAATGGATTGATGTTATAACAACAATCGAAGAACGTACAACATCAAATAGACAACATCATCAAATGACACTATTTTTTGATGGACATATTTATAGAGACACACAAGTTGAAAATTATACAGAAGTATTTATATTTAAATATGATAATTTACATCCAAAAGTAGCTGTCATTTATGGCAATGATACAGGTTTAGCTAAATTTGATGAGATTGTTTATTATGAAAGAATTTTATCAGACGAAGAAATTACTAATGGTCTGTTTATTTTGTTTTTCTTTTGTTTTAAATTCGAATAAATATATGATTTTAGTTTCTTCGGATCGTGTCTCAATGGGATGTTTGAAAGAAAATGATCGTGTTCATCAATATATAATTCCGGAACAATATGACACATGGCAACAATGTCGAGAAGCATGTTATAATCGAAGAATGAAGGTTTAAAATTCTCTTTTTTTTGTTATTTCGTTGATCTTTTGACTACTCTGTTTGTTTTTTGTTGGTAGGTTGCATTGTATTCATCGACAAATGGACAATGTGGATGTATTTTAAGTACATTTGAATTAGACTCTTCATTTAAATATGAGAAGAAGTTTTGTAAATGTCCATTATCAACATCAAAGTTAAATACACAATGTTTAGATGATGGACAATGGCATGTGATATCCGTATCAAATGTTATCGATCTGATTGACAGTGAAGTTGGTAGGTGATATTTTGAAATTTTATTTTTCGAAAATCTGAGATTGATTTCGCATATGAAAAAAAAAATGAAACGAAAGTTTTTTTTTACTGTGTGTCATTTTATAGCACGTTCATATATAGTGACAAGATGGACATACCACACTATATGGGAAAAATCAGCTAAAATGGAACATGACTATTTTCGATTTGACTTTGATTGTTTTTCTATAAGGGCTTGTTGTTTTTTGGTTGATCAAGTTCTTTGAATATGAATACATGTAAAAATATTGTCGCTTTCAACTCACATCTAATTAAACATCAGTAGTTAAATAATTTTAAACATGGCTAGCAAATAACTTTCTAATCTTATGATAGAAAAGTCTAAGAATTTTCAGAATAGACTGCATGCTATAAATTATAACTCTGGCGAAACTTTCTACAAGACTGAACTCCGAAGAGTGATCTTACCAAAACCAGTTTTTCATAGATTTGTTCATATCTCAGAACGATACGCTTTTTCTTTACTGTTATCTCGAGATTCCAAAGAAAGATTTTTTTATCATGTAGAATTTATTTTTGAATGACTCCTCATCCAGTTAGAAAAAGTTTTCATTTTTATATTCTTAGTCAGCCGTGTCACTAGCAACAAATAAACTCAATATTTTGAAAAGCCTAAGCATGTTCAGAAAAAAATCTTGCGTGAAGACCTTGTATTCTAAGAATTTCTCTGCAAAATGCTCTACGTTACAATCAAAAATACTTTTACAACTTGTAGTATTTTTAATTGTAAACACATACAGTCGAAACCTCTGTCATTTTTTGTGTCATGCCGATAAGACTAGTTTTTCAATAGTAACTTGACGGAACAAAGATTTAAGGACTGAAATTTTCAGGATATGTAGAGTAACTCAACATATATTTGATGCATAAAAATTGCTTAAACCAAAATTCACAGTTCAGAAAGATATGCGTATTTTTATTTTGCGAAATCATGTTGCTTAAGAGTGAAATTATTTAAAACTTTTTTCACATTACAAAATATTTCTTCTTTTATTTTTGTATTTGATGTTTGTATAACCCTTAGAGTGTCATTACTCAACCAATGAATGACGTTTCTTTGAGATTTCATATATAATATAGGCAGTGTGGATTGTTTATATTTTCATGAAAACTTTTTGAAAAATCGTTTTACTCATTTTCAGCCGATACCTGTACTAGCCACAGAGATAGTGAAGAAATATTTTGATCATCCTTGTAGAGAAGTACGAGTGTAAGTCAAAACTTGATCCAAAGTTGTCACCAAATCAACATTGGGAATATCATCAGGAGCCACTCTTAACTTGATTCCAACATGGAAAATCTACATATTTCTGAGACTCCAAAAAGGTATTATCCGCTCTCCTTCTTTTTAGAATAGAGATGGCTTTCCAAAAATCCATCAAACCTATTATATGAGTGGCCTCATTAGGGTACTAACTCTTATATAGGTGTACGCACCAAAGTCTTATCTATGTCATAGAGAAAATCGCACTTCGATATGATTTCGCGTTCGCAAGTTATTGAAAAATTTCGAAACTTAGAAAACGTGTTCTTCATAAAGTGCGCTGGTACTTCAAAGAGATAATTGATTGTCTTTCTGTAGAATCTCGTTTTTGCTATGCATATGAAAAATATCTATGTGCCAAAGGAAATAAACTATGAAGTAATAGCATGACTCATATGTCTTGTGCTTACTTATTCCCGAATATGTATGAAGTGTTTTTGCAATTGTTAAATTGATATTGGAGCATATGGTTAGCTGTTAAATATTCATCATGTCGATCTCTGAGAAGAATTTTTAAACTTATTAAAAAAACACAAATATTATTCAATGAATAAAAATCATTAATTTCTTGTAGGTCTTGAAATTCGTTTGGCTGATTCAAGTTTTATTGTTCATGGTCGAACACGAGTTCAAATAAATGAAGGTGTTGAAATAATTGTTTCGGTCAAAAATGAACGAAATCTTGCTTCATTAACTGTCTATGGTGATATCGAAGGTCAAGAAACCACAAATGCAAATGGAAGTTCAAATGAAATTTACATTACTGCTGGTGTTGTAAGTCTAATCATTTTTTTTTCTTTTTTCATTTTCTAAATAAAATCTATTTGATAATTTATAAAAAAAAAAGGTTAATCTCTCATGGAAAAATGAAGGTGCAAAAAAAGTTCAATTTCGTGCTGATTATCGTCGAATGGTCAATTATGAAACGGCCGAATATCATACAGTTTATGTCGATGTTGTTTTTGTTAAAACTGATTTACCATTACAATTTGTTCATTTTTCACCTGATAATCGTGATGGTCATTATTATCAAAATTTCACTGTACAAACATTTGGTAAATAAATTTATTTAACTGATTAGTTTTTCTACTGAAAATTTGTATCCTTGTCTATAGGAAGTGTACCAATCAATTGTACAGTTGATTATGGTGATGGAAGTCGTCAATTGAACGGTACAAGTCGTCATCAATTTTATACAGCTTATTTTGCAAGAAATTTTACACGTTATGGACAATATAATATTTCAGCTCGATGTTATAATGATCGTAGTTCAAATACAACATATGTAACGCGAACAATTCGACGAGAAAAAATGAATAGAAAAATGATGATTTATAAAGATTTAATGGCAACATCAACGGCAAGTCGATTTTATTTAATGTCACGTGAAGATTATTCATTTCAACATGCTAGTTGTTTATATTTACGAAATATGATTACAAATGAAAAAATGAAATTAATTTGGAGAAAGAAAACTTTGGAAATGATTCCAAATGAGGTAAACAAATTTGTTAGTTTGTCGTATAGAAATTAATGTATTTTTGAGGAAATATTCTCCAATGAGGCATCAGTTTTGACATCGGATTTTTATCTATGCGAGATTTTGAAGGAGTTTTCACGTATTTTGCGAAACACGATGTAAAAGAAGCGTTGATGTATATAGAGTAGAAATTCTCATCGCTCCTCCACGAAGGCTGAATGGCTGCGTTTTTTTGTACGTAGGTAATCAGTTCTTTGTTTAAACTTCGATACCACCAGCCATAGAATGATTCCGAACAATTCATTAACCGTTTTTTGTCTCAGATTTCCCATCTGACAGTATGCTGATAAAGTTGTGACATGCACCCGTCCTCATGGCTACTGCGTGGTTAGTCAATGTGTACGAATAGCTAAAAGCGATTGAGCTCAAGAACTCTGGGTTAGCCCAACCTTCTGTCCAGAGCTACAACTGATATTATTTATAGGAAAGATATTATGCTAATGATTCTGCCGTTAGGCAGCACCCCACATTACAAGGTAGCTGAAAGTCAGTGGTATTCTCCTGTCATTCTCTATGCGTCACAGATTGCAATAGATGTTGTTTATATACGATCAAAGACCATATATCAATAACGTCTCGTTATAACATATGAACTAATTCCTTATTGCATTTTCGGACGATTAAGTAAAAAAGATGGTGAATAAATTTTCCAAAATAGTTTGAATAAAGCAATCTCCCTGTGATTAGCAACAGCAGGTACATCATCGTTCACATTTTAACATAGCAAGAATTGGGCTAATAGATTTTTTTTTCTTTTGTATGAAATAGATCACGTTCTAGTTTTCTCAAGAATCAAGTGAATGATTGAGGTCAGAATTTTACACATATAATTCATCAGCTGAAGTTAATATTATGGATTGAGATATTCTGTTTTTTTTTTATTCGATTGTTTGATTATTGAGCTACAGATCTGAACAAAGGAATGCTACTAATCTCAATGGCATAAATACCTACTTTTAGATAAAATATCTGATTATGCTTCATCTGTAAAAGTTTCAAGGAGAGAAAAATGGATCGACTTTTCTCTCTTGAAATATTTTTTTTTCCGTTAATAAATAGAATATTTTGTATTCTTGTTGACTTGACAGTTTAATCATTTTTCAAATTGAAAACTTAAATTGTTTTTCTTTTCAGCCATTACCTACTGGCAAATATCTCTATCAACTTGAATGTGATTCTGTACCATTACAAGCATATTATCTTAATGTTCAACCAGCAGTACGTTCATTAGATATTGAAGCATCTCAAACAATAATAAAAACTAGTCAATCAATCCAATATTCGATTACTCTTGAACCTACATCAGATTTAACAATTATATTTGATTGTGGTACACCGAAAACTCCATTAGAAATTATTCATATTCAACAAACAAATAGTGCATCTCCAATAGTTGTTGCTAATTGTACTTACACTGAATCTGGTCGATATCATCCATTAGTTAGTGCAATGAATCGTATAAATTTAGTAAATCAATCAATACGTATTGATGTTGAAGAACCATTATCACCAATTAAAGTTGAAATTGAAGATCGTTCAGATATTAATCAATTAACATTAATTACTATTAGCGCATTAGAACGTATACCATTTGAAGGTTTATTTACTTTAACTATTGTTGATAGTACAAATATTCATGGAAAAAATCTAACACGAACTGAACGTATACAATTATTAACATCAAATAATTTTACTGAACAATTCTATATGAATATAACAACATATGGTAGACAAACCTTATATGTACGTGGTGGAGATTTTCCAACAATACGTGAAGCACAAGCAACATTTACCATTGGAACAGATATAACAACGAAACCACAAGTTTATATTTTAAATCAAATGGCTGTTGTTAATGAAGATTTTATTTGGATTGATATTCAATGGATCAATGGAATTGGTTTTGATGTACGAATTGATTATGGAAATGAAAAAAAAGTTTTAATACCTTATGGACAATTTATAATAAGTCCATTTAATCAAATAGAAAAGAAAAATGATGAAATGCATGATATACAATGGAAAAGAATTAGTAAACAACGATTACAAATTGGATATAAGTAAGAAGAATTTCATATTTGAAATGTTGTCCGATACGAGTGTTTTACGAGAAGAGAACAAAGTCTAAATAAGATCTAAGACTTATGCCCATATTCGTATGGAAACCTAATGTTATGAAGTTTCTTTACGATTTGTTTAGTTTGTAAATAGAATATTCACCTTCTTTGATAGTTATACAACAACTCTTACATTTCAATCTATCTTTCTTTTGTTATATTATGAACAAGAGACGAACATGTTTCGATTCTTGATCTGATTTCGTCTTTGACAAATTGTGAAGATTTTGTGCTAATTATTAACTGCTCTTACCCACACTATTTACATAAGCTGAAAAATAATTATTAGAATCCTTGGCCTGTATAAAGCGAGAGAACTTACATGAATAACTTCCTACCGAAAACTTGACTGTTTGTTGAATAGAGATGAACGATCTATATAGAAATTCATAAACTTGTTTATAATAAATAAAAGACAATCATCTTAAACGTTAACTACCACATAGTGTCATCTGTTGATGTTTGAATAGATGTGACATCGGTTAAGATTTCGAAAAGCAAATCGACTGTGTCAGATTGTTTTATTGAACAATAAATATTTTTCAGTAGGTTTTTCAGATGAGTCTTTTTGTAAAATCTTTATTTGATTGTTAACTGCTTTAAAATAAATCTTATTTACTTTATAGGTTTACAAAAGTTGGTACATATAAAATTGATGTAACTTTTATTCAGCCATCTTCAAAATTTCTTACTGTTGAAATTGCATGTCCAACAGTAACCATTGTTTCAGGTATAATTCAACCTGAAGAAACATGTTTTCAAGAACAACAATTTTCTCTAACATCTCCAAATGCTATTAATAATGTAACTTCATCATCACCTGTACTTCTTCTACCATATAGTCTTCAACATAATCTTGAACCAATAATAATAACAACATGTTCTGAAAATGATTTTATTTATTCATTTTATCTTCTATCAATTGATTCATCTCATTGGAAATATTCTCGTACACAACGTTATTCACATCAAATAAGTGAATCTTTTGAAGAAACATTTCTTTCAAAAGATTGTTCAGAACTTGGACCTAAATCAACATTAACAATTGAACCAAAATCACTTTCACATGGTTATTATTTAGCTGCTTTTACTATTAGTACAAGTTCAAAACAAGCTGATTTTCGACAATTTATTCAACCAATTGAAATTGTACGTTCAGATTTCGTAACAACATTTGGTGGAAATGAAACAGTAACAATTGATGGTCATCATATTCAATTAGATTTTTATTCTTCAACAACCGATCCTGATATAGCTGAATTCGATCGTCGTAAACTTAATTTTACTTTAATATGTTATCCAGAAGATATTCAATCATCTATATTCATTCCTAATACACTTCAATTAGGTTCATCAAGACCAACAGCAACTAATCCACAAAATCTTAATAATTGGTTTATAAAATGGAATGATTTAACATTAGCTACACGTCGTTCAGAATTAAATATTCAAATATATGAAAATCAATGTTTTACAGCAAAAGCACAACAAACAAAAACAAAAGAATTAATTCATTTTGATCCAAAAACAAAAGTATTTAATATTAGTGAAAATGATTTAGATCTTGATAATAAAACACTTCATTTCTTACTTATTATTCGACATGTAAATGATGGAAGACAATTAATTACACGTTTAGAAGTTGATAAACAAATAAGTTATGCATTTGATACGGCAGATTTAAGTGCACTAGAAGAAGTAATGGGTAATTTAGATGATTTAGCTTCAGCAAATCCAGAAAAAGCAGTACAATTAATCACCGGTTTAGCAGATAAACTTAATGAAATGAGTGATAATTCTGTAAGTGAAATTTTGTTTTTCTTTCTTTAAAACGAATATTTTATTTTAAAATAGACTATGGGAGAAATGAATGATACAGAAGCGAAAGCAGTCAATGATCGAATGGCGGCTGTAAGTTTGAAAATACTTCAATAGAATTAATATAAAGATAAAATATTTAATTTTAGATGCGATCAAAAATGTTATCATCAATGGATACAGTCTTAGACTCTGCAAATGATCCAACTATGGTCGAAAAAGCACTTAAAGCTAGTGCAACAGTGACAGCTAATAGCGAACAAATGCCATTGAATAATCAAGTTTGATTATTTTCTGATTTATTTTATTGTTTTCCTTTTATAAAAATATGATTTATAGGAAAAAGGAGCTGGTCTTATTGAAAAAGTGGGTGCTAAAGTAAAAGATATGGAATCAGCAGATGAAAATACAGTCACTGAACTTGCTACATGTTTGTCTATGCTGTTGTTCTTTTGTCTTCATTTGAAAAAAGTTTCTTTGATTTTAGCGTTAATGGATGTTGGTGGTAATGTTCTACAAGCTGCATCAAAAACTGTTTCAAAAGATCAAGAAAATGATCCTGGTGCTGTCATTGAGGTTAATATAAATTTTCTTATTATTAATTTCATATTTATTTGAATAATATATATATATATATATAGAATCTTGAATCCGATATGAAAGCATCAGAAGAGGATGAAACTGATACAAAAGTTCTTTATGCTCCAACAACATTTTATGATGCATGTGATGAATGTGATACATTACCTGAAGAACGATGGGAAGAACTTCGACATAAATTAGAAGATGACAAGAAAACAATTATTGAAGGACGAGAACGAGTATTTTATTTTATTTTTTATTTTCTGTATTCTATGAAATTATTTTTTTTTTTGCCTTTCTTAGGCTTCAAATATTGCTAAACGAAGTGCTGGCGGTTTATTTACAGTTGGTGATGCTTTAGTTAATCGTTCATCAACAAATGATTCAAAAACAATTGAAAGTAAAACAATGGCAATGAGTTTTGGAAAAGCATCTCCTGATGGTATGAATCAAATATCTTTTATATATCTGCTATGAATTTCAAAATATAATACGCTTCACTGTTTTTTTGAATAACATCTGATAGAAACATCATAGACACCTGCAGTTTTCACCATTCAAGAGACAAAATTCAGCATAATCAAACTTTGACTGACTAGCAATTCCAATCAGATGAATTCTTAGTGGAGATTTCTGAAGCTATTTTCCTTACAATTTAGAATTTTAATAGAACGAATTTATAGAAGTAATTCTTCTATTTCGATCTACGTAAAGCTGACACTCTTAATTTGTTCCGATTCAGAGTTATAAGACTTTCCCTAAGATCACCTGGAAATGCAGCTCGATAGAGTTAATTTATCATGCTGAAACGAATAATGAAATTTGTTATTATGTTCGAAGATGATCTGATTCTATTATCTCTATATTTCTGAACTTTCATAATCACCCTTCGTGTAACAAAATAGTCAACATTTCTTAAAAGAAACAGACTACGAATGTCGGCATTCAGTAGATCGAAGGAGAACAATTTTTTCTACGGATTAGTTCTACCAAAAAGTGTAAATTGAAAGGAAAGCAGTTTTAGAAATTTCCGTCAGAAACTTATCTTATTCATCAATTGTTGGCTAGTCAAATTTCAATGGCTCTAGGTCTTCTTTCTGAAATGGTGAAACTCGCAAGTCTCAAAGATGTTCCTATCAAAAGTTATTCAAAAAAAAAACAATAGAGCACATTATATTTTGAAATGAATAGTAGATAAAAAAAATCTTTTTTTCTTTAAAAGGTAAATCAAGTATATCCGCTGGTGAAACAAGTATTCGTTTACCTGGTTTATCGGATTTAAATTCGGATTCTGATTCATCAAATGTTTTTACTAAAGTTCTCGAATCGAAAGATAATCCCTATGCAAGTGCACATGGAAATTCTCATGTACAAGGAAGTGTAGTAACTATTATTTTATCACGACCAGATGGAGGAGAAATACCAGTAACAAATACAACTGCACCAATATCAATTCGTTTAACAAGACCAGTTGATAAACGACCAAAATTTCAAGAACATGAAGTACATGGAACATCATTTCAATATCATAAAGTTAGTTTACCTGAAAATCAAATGACATTATCAATTTATGTTGCTCCAAATAATTCACCAATGGATACATATGCTATTTATATTTCATTTGATACAAACGAAACATTATTAGAACCACCAACAGAATCAAAATTTGATTTACTTTTTGTTTTACCAAATAAAACAGCTTTATCATCAACATCAGATATTAATTTAGATGATGAATATGAATTAAGACATACAATTTTTATGCCACCAGGTGTTCATCTTGGTAATGGTACTTATATTATTGGTATTAGATTAATTAGTGAGTATATCGAAAAAAAAACAATTGTTTTTGTTTTTGATAATATAATGAATTTTAGATGCAAGTACAACAATGAATTTAACGGAATATAATTCGAGTTATACAGTAAATATGTATGTATCAAAATGTCAATATTGGGATGACAAACGATATGTATGGAGTTCAGATGGATGTGAAGTAAATTATATTGATTTTGAAAATTTGATATATTAATATATTAAATGTATTTATATATAGGTTGGACCTTTGACAACATTAAAATCTACGGAATGTCTTTGTAGACATTTAACAACATTTGGAGGTGATTTTTATGTTCCACCGAATACAATTGATTTCAAAACAGTTTTTAAGAAATTTAAAAAATTACATGAAAATGCTGCTGTATTTAGTACGGTTATGGTTATTTTTGGTATCTATATTATTGCAGCAATTTGGTCAAGAAGAAAAGATAAACAAGATTTAATTAAAGTAAGTTGTTTAAAGTCATTTCATTCAATTTAAATAACAAAAATAAAAATAATCTTTGATGATCATTAGTTCATGATATCTGATGATTAATGACTATGAGAAACCCTAAGAAAAATATCGTTTTTAGAGAGACTAATCAAAGTTTAGATACAATAGTGGAATTTCGAGTTGTTAATAACAGAAAACTAATCATAAATAGAAATCTCTATCTATGACAGTCTATCATAATGAATTGTTTCGATTATTAAAACGCTTGTTAATTCTTATTTGCTTGCAAGAGAACACCAGATTTGAACATATTTTCATTATGAAGTATATTGGCTCAAAAATTATTGTTAAGTATTCTTCTACTATAAACACATATGTATTTATATTTTCAGTGGACAGCATCACCACTAATGGATAATCTTCCAATTGATTCTTATCATTATTTAATCACGGTTCATACTGGTGTCGGTAAAGAGGCTGGTACAACATCAAATATAAGTTTTGTTATGTCTGGTGAATCAGCTGATAGTGGTGTACGAAAATTATCTGATGGAAAAATTCAAGTAAATTCTCTAAAATATTTGAACGTTTATTATAGTTTTCTTCGTTAATCAAATAGATGAAATGGTTTTTTTGTCTATAAATATTCAATTTTATTTGACTTTTATCCACTGATAACTTCACCCTAAATAACAATATGAATGAATCGAAAAATCAGATGTTTTTAGTTTTATTGAATTCAATTGAAGAAATCTTTTACAAATAAACTTTTTGTACATCATTCGATTCTTTAAGGATATTTTTCATCGTTTTTGACTATCTCCAGTTTAACAAGACGATATGTTCAATCATATTGGAATATTTATCACTAATAGAATTCCTGAAATAGAAGAAACATATTTGAGAAAAAAAGTTTAAAGAGAGGTTTCTGTTACTTTTTTGGGAAAACTCTTGTTCTACATAGAACCGCATTATATCACATGATGACTTCCATGAGACTTTATCCAATTGGGCAGAAAACGCTTTTGGCCGTACGTATAATGGTATATCTCATTGCTTGTTTTGTTTTCTTTTTTCGAAAATCTGATTTTCGGAATTTTTTTTATGCAAGAAATACATATATATTTATTTTATCAATTGGACTCCGCACAGACTTCAAATGAACAGCAAGTGATAGTCCTAATGTAAATGAATCATTTCATTTCTGACAAGAAACGTACACTTTCTTTCTGCATTGCTTTTCTTAATACAGTCAAATGTATTAATAACACATAGGAAAGACAAAAGGGAAATTATAAAAAAAAAATCGATATTTCTATTAATAGGAATTTAAATCAGGAAGTGTTCGAAATTTTGTTATGAGTGTTGAATCTCAACTTGGTCCATTACTTTATATTCGTGTTTGGCATGATAATTCTGGTATGAAAGATAAAGCATCTTGGTATTTAAATATGATCAATGTAATGGATTTACAAACTGGAGAAAAGTATATTCTATTATCAGTTTTTATTTTTTTTTATTCAAAAATTTTTTGCTTTGTTTTTAGGAGTTATTTTATTTGTGATAATTGGTTTGCTGTTGAAAAAGGTGATGGTCTTGTTGATCGTGTTATTCCATTAGCATCATCAAAAGAATTAAAAAGTTTTGCTCATCTTTTTACTCAATCTGTTAAGAAAAAATTTAGTGATGGTCATCTTTGGTTTTCAGTATTTTCACGTCCAGTTCGAAGTAATTTTACACGTTTACAACGTATTTCATGTTGTATATCATTATTATTTTGTACAATGATATCAAATGCAATGTTCTATCGACAAGATACAAATGCAACAGGAAATAAAGCTGGTGTTTTAATGAAAATTGGTCCTATTCAATTTACATTAACACAACTTTGGATTAGTTTTATTGGAACATTAATTGTTTTACCGGTTAATTTAATTATAGTAACATTATTTCGTAAAGCAAAATATAGTCAAAAAACATTAATAACACATCAATTGAAAGAAACTCAACGTCGAAATAAACGATTAGAAAAAGATGAACAATATGAAAAAACAACACGGTTTGTTTTGAATGAAAGATGACTCGAAACTTTTTCATAATTTTTGACTAAAGAAATGAATAGATGTAGACTTCTAGAAAAAGATTTCTTCTATCTTCTAGTAGCATACGGACAGTAGAACCTGACAATACATATACCGTATTGGATGGCTGAAGTCTTTCTCTAGGAGCCACCATATATGCCCGCTTTGTAGTCAAAAATTTCTAGTGATTTTTAATTTGAAAAGAAGAATGAATTTATGTTTAGATTTTTCTCACGAGCAAAATATCGTTTAAAACATTCGAAAAAACTTGATGAAGAAGAAATTGAACGTATTGGAGCAATACCTTCAGTTGAAGATAAAACACGAACACTTCCACATTGGACAATTTATATTGCATGGGGATGTAAGATAAACAAATTGAATTTCATTTGTGTTTAAGATTATTATTACTTTTTTTGTTGTTTTTTTTTTGTTAAGTGGTTATATTGAGTATTCTTACATGTTCATTCTTTATCATCTTATATTCATTGGAATGGGGTGCTAAACGAGCTAATGAATGGTTAATAACAATGATGCTTTCATTTGGTCAATCAATACTTGTTATTGATCCATTGAAAGTATTTCTTATAACAGCAATAATAAGTTTTCTTATACGTCGTCCATATGATGATGAAACACTTGATTTTAATGATCCTTTTACAGGAGCATTAGTATCAAATAATAGTATTGTTGAGAATGATGGTCAAGATATTTATAGTGATTCTCAAATTAAAGGTAAAATTTTAATTTATTTCATTTAAGCCATGCTTTACTAGAACTTCCAATTTTTGTACAGACAGTTGGTTTTTGAGACTCATATATGGTTGGTTAGCTCAAGTTTTCCACTTTCAAATATATTATTATTCACTAGTTTTATGATGAATGTTGCAGGTGCTGCAGAAGTTATCTTGAAAAACTCTTTATACGAAGGATGGTCTTCGAGCTTTAGTCGTTAAAGTCTTTTAAGCTCCTGTTTAGGTCTGCAACCTAGATCTCTTGACCAATTGAATATTTTGGACTGAAATTTTTACTGTAGACCTTCTAGATCTGGATACGTCATCTGAAAATGGGCGAATACCGAGTATTTAGTTTGTTTTAGAATTGATTGAATTTATTTCAACCATCGAATTTATCTACGGATAGGATATAATAGGTTTTAACTGTATCAAAAGAAAGTCCTCATCCTCAGTTTTTAAGTACTTGCCTTCACCTCAGGTTATTCTATTTAATGATAAAATAAATTATGCGATTGATACAAAAAAAATCCAAAAAATAAATTCTTGAAGTTACTATTGAAAAGAAAAACATATATTTCTTCATCTCTTATATTAGAAGTGGCTCGTCAACGTCGTATTCAATTATTTGATTTACGTCCCATTGATTCAAATGAAATGTCTCGTGCTCGAGAACAACGTTTACGTGAAATAAAAATGGGCGAAATTATTCGTGAAATAGTTGTTTATATATTTTTTACAGTTGTTTTATTATTTCTCTCATATCAAGCACGAGATACAAATTCATATGGTTTATATCGTGATACAAAAAATTTATTTATAACAGATGATTTTCATGGTGTTGATTCATTAGGGACATGGTGGAATTATTGTGATAATGTTTTATTAAAAGGTCTTTATGCTCAAACATGGTATAATAATAAAAGTTTAACATGGAGAGAAAAATTAACAACTGGAAGTCGAGTTTCAATGCGTGTTGGTGCACCAAGAATTCGACAATTACGTGTAAAAGAAAATAGTTGTCGTGTTCATCGACGTGTTAAACATATTATAAGTCATTGTCGAGACGATTATAATTGGTTTGATGATGATACAAAAGATTATACACCAAGATGGGAACAAGTTTTAAATAAAACAGCAGCAAAAATGACTGATGAATCAAATGATGGAGCAAAACGATGTAGAACTCCATGGTGTTATCAAGTGAGTTTTATATTCATTATGTTTTTGATACAAGAAGAACCTAAATATATTGCTAAGAGAATCTTCATTGATATGACTTTGTTTTGAGGTTAGACTTGAATTCATCTTGCAGAACTAATATGATTATTGAGTCTGTTTTTTACATAAGAAGAATTGATTATTTCAATTACGATTCAAATCTTTGTATTGATAAAGATCAGAATGAGATAGACTATTGCAACAATTCCAAAAGTTAAGAATTTTTCTATTTTAAAATATAAGTACAATGATATCGGTTGTCTACAGAATATCTAAGATAGACTACAATTATGTCGTAAAAGTTCAATATCTCGTGAGATATGAGCTGAAGAGATGAAATCTTATTTGCATATTCATAACTGTTTAGTGCTAATATACAATCTTTCTAAACACAGCAAGTCTCTTCCTAATGAAAAAGGAAAATAATGAGTGACAAGTAGAAATATTATACTTACGGACTACATACTTTAATAAACTTCTATGCGATGTTTAACATCATCCCAAGTACAATAAATAAAAAAAAAAAAAAGATGCTAAGAAAAAATGTTAGACTACAATAATCAAGATTCTGATAAAAAAACATTATTGAAACATAAGAACATATAATTTATCATTCTTTGGTACTGATACAAATATAAGTAATATACTCATATTGATTGATATGCCTATCTGTATTTTCATTGTCACTTTCCCATATACGAATCCTAACGTTGATCTTGAATACTGAACAAAGTATTTTCGAAAGAAAAATAGAAAATTATAGACTGAGTGAGTTCCATATTTTAACTGACAAAGATTTCAAGCGATTGTTACCGCAATTTCACTGTACGCGGTCGATTACGATAAGCTAGGATATTAATATGAGCTGTATCTCTTCGTAATATACAGTACTGCATGCGGTCATAAAACACCGGTCTGGTTTACATTAAAATACGATGCGTAAATAGACCGTATACGTAAGGAAAGTTTGGCTGATAAACCAGAGATGCTCGTTGCGACTGGAAATTTGCCGCTACTGTGATAGTTTTCGAGAAACTTTTCGAAAGTTTCTTCTATCACTGTGCTAAATTAATGCAGTTAGATTGAATCCATCAGATTTGCCACGAGTCTACCTATCTAACTTGTGGACACTCAAATCAGATGCAAATTCATACAAGTTGACAATCTCTCTAGAAAGTAGCTGCCGTTGACATCATTACAATGACAGAGCGGCTAGAGCAACGTCACCATGGATATCTCTATAGCAAAAATTTATTTATTTTTTATTTATTGTTTTTTTTAGAGTAGTGCTCGTACAAAAAGTGGTCCTCTAAAAGCAATTTATAAAACATATAAAGGTGGTGGCTATGTTGTATCATTAGGTCGAACATATGAAAAAGCTCGATCACTTATTGAAACACTTCGTTCAGATACTTGGCTTGATCAATTAACACGTGCAGTTATTATTGATTTTTCACTTTATAATGCAAATGTTAATTTATTTGTTGCTGTTACACTTTCATTTGAAATGACATCAATGGGTTCAATTATACAAGATTATCAAATAAAAATTTTTCGTTTATATGATCATATTGGTGGTTATGGTATTCTTGTTTATTTATTTGAACTTTTATTTGTTATTTTTACAATTTATTCTTCTGTACATGAAATATTATTATTAATTAAACAAAAACGAGAATATTTTAATAAATTCTGGAATGTTATTTCATTTATAACAGCAGTATTTAGTATAACAGTAATGATTATGTATGGAACTAAAAAAACATTAACACGATTAGCTATTCGATCATTAAGAAAAACAGAAATGGGTAAGTAGATATAAGACGAATGAACTGCGTTTTTTTTTTGTTTTTAATTTGATTATTTTTCTTAGGTGAATTTGTTAATTTTAATGCCATTGGGAGTTTTGATGAAGTTTATTCATATATTGTTGCATTAGTAACATTTTTTACAATGCTTAAATTTTTAAAATTACTTCGTTTTAATAAACGTATTGGAATGTTATCACAATCACTTAGTTATGCTCGACAAGATTTAAATTCATTTGCAGTTGTTTTTGCTATTTTTATGATAGCATATGCACATATGGGTTTTGGTTTATTTGGTCGTTCACTTCAATCTTATAAGAGCTTTTTTACTGCATTAACAACTTGCTTTCGAATGCTTTTGGGTGAAATTAATGCTCCAGATATGCTTGCTGTTAGTCGAGTCTATGGTAAGTTAAGAAAAAGAGTATCACATTGAAAATACTTCGCTTTTTACTTTTTCTTATTCTTAGGTTCATTTTATTTTCTATCATTTATAACTCTTGTCTTTATTGCATTGTTAAGCATATTTTTAACAATGTAAGTATGATTGATAACTGAGATAGGCTTGTAAAAATATGTTGTTGTTTGTTTTTCTTTTTATTATAGTTTGAATGATTCATTTGCACATGTTAAACGTGAATTAGCTGCTTCACAACAGAAAAATGAAATGATGGATTTTATGTGGTCTGCATTTCGAAAAGTTGCAGGTATCAATAATAAGAAAACAGCCGAAGATAATGATGAGATAATGAAAAATAATATAACAACAATGCTTGATTCAATGAATAAGAATTCTGATGCTCCATTGGCTAAATTTGATGCTGAAGATCTTTAAATTAAATCAATAGAGACAATATTAATGAGAGACTAAATATTATTTTATTCTAATTTTCAATTGTATGTTTGTATGCTTAAATATATATATATATATTCAACTAAGAATAATTTTTCGTCAATAAAATTGGCTTGCTCGACAAAATTTTTGCTTAATGAAAGTAATAGAAGAGACGAGCATATCTTAAAATACACATTGACTCAATAATATTGAGGAGAAACATGATCAATTAATCACACTTTTAATCTACAACTTAAGTAAATTAATTGGAGCGTACAATATGAGATGTTTACGGCACTCTCCTTGAAAATCGTTTAAGCTAAGAAATATGCTTGATTTGTCCTGTTATCTTATTTGACATTGGAGATCACTAATTTGTACAATTCTACATAAGAAGAAGAAGAAATTGTTATGATTTAAACAACATCAATAACCATCAATTCAAAATCTAATAATTGAATAGTGAATTATTTTGAATATTGTTGAGATTACAGAGAGAATATGAATTTCAAACACTTCTAATAAATCATGTATTTCCTTCTATCATCATAAATCATTTATATTTTCTGATGAGTCAAGTTTTTTGACGTCGAAAATTTTTCTGGGCAACATATACCCATTTGTTTGCTGATGAGAACATCTCTTTGATGTTTTAATTGAAGTTTATTTAAGAATTCTAGTGTTCTACTGATGTGTAACTTTGCCATTGACTGAGAAAGAAAATTCTTTTAGTAACTTCGTTGAAGTCTGTTCCAGATCTCTATTTCTAATTTATCTTTTACTACGTAGTTATTTAAAAGTGTCAAAGCAATAATTCCATGGATATGATAATTATTATCTAATATTTCGAAACAAGTAGAAGAAAAATAGCAGTGAAAATCTGAAATATGTTTGTCTTTTGATTAAAATGGAAGTTGAAAAAGTATTAGATCAAGCGCCATGAAATTATACATACTTTAGACTTAACAGTTGTTGATGATTCTTTTTGTTCTTATGATAAGATTGTTATTTTAGAATAAAAGTAATAGATAACGGTGTTAGATCAGAAAAAAGAGAATTATGATCAAAATAAGACTCTTGTTGAACATCTTGGTTTTTGACTTGATAAGTTGATGGTAATTATAGCTAATCATTTAGTTGAGCAATGTCTTTCTCTACCTGTTTCACTTTTTTGTATTCTGGTGTATAGTTGTGTTTGTAGGTTGATAGATTTTCATTGAAATAACGAAGTCCTTCTAATGGATTGTTCAATTCTCTATAAGATATGTCGATATTCTTAAAATTATTTACTATATAGATATAATCAGGTGGCAATATATGAAGTTAAAGTTGAAGCACTTGGAGTTCATAAAATAATGCATCTTTGATTCTGTCATACTCGCTATTAAAACAAACCATGGATATGAGACAATCAGAAGTGATTTGATCATCAGATGGTATTGAATTTCGATCATTGTATTTAAATACTTTTGAGACATTTCTAAGGCTTTGTTCAGTACAGTGTTCCTTCTGTAAGTGTCAGTAATCTATTATCCATTTCAAAATAGAAGAAGGGTGATTGTTTTTTGAATAACTTTTTAACGGAAATAGCTATCGGTCTGTGGATTTCATCATTCGATAGAAACGAGCATTCTGCATCTTTCTATAGATGGTTAAAAAAGTCATCTTATGATTCTGATGAGCAGTCAATAAAATTCAAAGAAGTATTTAAAGTGCTATAAAAGTTGTATGGAATTTCAATTGTAATTAGTGCATTAGATTTGCCAGCTCAAGATCTACAATTTTACACAAACCCAAAATTTTTATTTTGTTCCATTCAAAACTTATACACCTCACACTGATGGTCAAAAACGCTTGGAACATCCTTTTTTTGGCTAGTTTTTTAAGTTTTCATAATGCGATGTCTATAGGTTTTCGATCATTCCGAATCAAACAAAACTATTCGTATTGTAACAAAGTCATTATTTGTCATGTAAAATCAGTGCTAATTATATTACATCACAGATTTAATATCTTCGTCGCAAACTGTAATGATATAACATAGTCCTACATGTTGAATATCTCTTTAGTATA